TCCCATTTTAAGAAGAATGAAAAGGAGGTCAAGTGATGTACTAATGACATACATGTATATATATATAACTGTTTTTGAGAAAACAAAAATCAAAACTTCCCAGTATCATATTAATTTTAATACTTTCATAAAAAAACAAGAATGTGTCCATATTACACGGATGCCCCACTCGCACTATCATTTTCTATGTTCAGTAAACCATGAAATTGGGGTCAAAACTCTAATTTGGCATTAAAATTAGAAAGATCTTATCATAGGGAACATGTGTACTAAGTTTCAAGTTGATTGGACTTCAACTTCATCAAAAACTACCTTGACCAAAAACTTCAACCTGAAGCGGGACAGAGGGATGCACAGACCAGAAAACATAATGCCCCTACTACTATTGTAGGTGGGGCATAAAAAAGATGAATAAAATTCAAAGCAACTATCAAATAAATTTGAAATGATGAACAATGTTACAAAAAAAACAAGTTAACTATGTGCCACAAGGAGAATACAAAGAACACAATCAATACAGACTCAAGAACAGAAAGAAATATTCACATCAATTCAACAAGTTTGCCACTTTGGTATCAGTAGGTCTAAAGTTTTGCAAACAGGATTTTATAAAATGAAATGATCATTAAATAAAGTCCTATGTCAACCTGAGGTTCCTAACCATAACCCTATTAGACATCATGAATGGTCAGTAAAAAATATTTAAGCTAAAAGCTATAAAGAGCCTGTGCTGTTCACTTGCATCTTCAACAATGGCCACCTTTTAGTAAAAATCACCATTAAAGGGGACTAACTCTATTAAGACTTTACTGACAATTTCAGTCATGTTGACATATTTGCAGATCTTATCCTGCTGAGCATTTTCCTTTTTAAATTTCTTTATTTTAACATGTAAACTATGCAAAACATTCAAAGTCAATGAACCTTGTTGGGCCAAATAATCTCTGTTGAAAAGAAATGGAATACATTTTTGTACTAACAACTGTACTAAATACCATTGACTTATCATAATTGTTCCCTTTAAGGGGATACAGAACACCTAAGGGAGGTAACTCTTTAAAAATCAGTTGAACGTTTAAATCACTTGATATAAGTAAAGAGAAATCAAGCTAACAAATTATTGTTTGTCAAACTGCTATATATCCAATGAAATTTTATTCCTGTAAATTCTGTGGTTCAAATTTCTTGAAATTTTATGTTTTTGGCAACAACATGAACAAGTCAAAGTAAATATTTTGTCAAAATTTTATGAAAATTAAAGAGTCAAATCTTTTTTCATCAAAGCGTTGGGTACCCCTTAAACTTAACTAAACACAAAATTTAACATATAAATATGCAAAAATTTGGAAGTCAATGAAACATGATGAGGCTATATAATCTTCAAGGAAATAAGACAACCCTTAAACTGACCTATCACAAACTAATTCATTCCGCCGGAAACAAGAAACAAGCAAATTATTTTGAGGAAAATTTCATATTGATAAATAAATAGGACAAACTGTATAGATGTACTACTTTCCAATTGACAACATAAATCTTAACATTACAGTTTACCTTCAGCACCCCCTTCGTCATACTCTTCAACAACATTCTCTGGAATACTATCTTCTCTTGCTGGACCTAAAATTAAGTGGAATTTATAATTTTTGCATGATTTAATTGCAGTTATTTCTAACATAAATAAAGTATGGTTAAAGATAAATTGTTGCCTGGAAGATACATTTCTTCTCTCCTAGTTCTCTAATTAGATTTCCCATTAAATCAAATTAATAATAAATTTTGCAATTAGTAGCCATCTGAAAATTAAAGTAACAAGAGTGCACAAGCTGAAATGTCTCGCCTTCTTAACTAATCACTGATATTATGTTGATAGTCCTAAATAAAAAGCTTTATTACAACTGTCACATAAACTTAACATTAACCAAGAAAACTAAACATTGACCAATGAACCATGAAAATGAGGTCAAGGTCAGATGAACCATGCTAGGCAGGCATGTACAGCTAACAATTCTTCCATACAACAAATATAGTTGACCTATTGCTTATAGTTCAAGAAAAACAGACAAAAACACAAAAACTTAACACTGACCAATGAACTGTGAAAATGAGGTCAAGGTCAAATAAAACCTGTGCGACTGACATATAGATCATAAAATATTTCCATACACCAAATATAGTTGATCTATTGCATATAGTATTAGAAAAAAAGACCAAAACTCAAAATCTTAACTTTGACCACTGAACCATGAAAATGAGGTCAAGGTCAAATGACACCTGCCAGCTAGACACGTACACCTTACAATCATTCCATACACCAAATATAGTAGACCTATTGCATACAGTATAAGAAAAACAGACCAAAACACAAAAACTTAACTATAACCACTGAACCATGAAAATGAGGTCAAGGTCAGATGACACCTGCCAGTTGGACATGTACACCTTACAGTCCTTCCATACACCGAATATACTTGACCTACCGTAGAAAGGCTTGTATAGTTCGCAGTGGTAAATAGTCCGCACCCCCTTCTCCCCACGAAATTTTAGGTAAAAAAACTTTTTGTAACTGTTAGAAAAGGTCTAATGAAACTCCGGTAATTTCAAATCCTGTGCGGTCGTTTGCGGTATTTTCTTGGAAAAACCTGTTTTCCATCATCAAACAGAAGCTGAAACTGCTTGTTAATGATTCTAGAACGCTTCATGATTGTTAAAATAAGTTTAATTTACTTAAAAAACAATTTAGAAACTTGTGTATGTTTAAACAGGAAGTCTAAAAAGCACGTGTAAAAGAAGAAATTAACTGGTGAGAGTCGAAATCCGTACATAACAGATATCACTATAATACGACTTTGAAAGTAAAACAGTTCCATCCTTTTGTAAAACAGTCTTTAATATATCTATCATTAATGTTTGAAGGGTCTTAAGCTAATACAAACCATATTAGTCAGTATGAAACACCAAAACGGAACGAACAATAACCGATTTCGTTTTGTAGTTTACAAATTCTAAGCTGGTTTACGGTTGTCTTTTTCACTATGTTTGTATCGTTTCAATCGAGCAGATACCAGTTTATTTCAACCAATGCATTGAAAAGAAACGAGAAATTTGTAATGAAAGGTTTAGTTTTTATATTTATCAGTATTAATTTGATATTGAATAGAAATAACTTATTAATATGGATGAGTTAAAATTATTAGTTTGAAAAATGATAAGAGCGCCCTCTACAATAGAAATAACAAAGATGGCGGAACGTAAACAAACCACCTCGACCGCGAAATTGAAATTTTTCTCTTATTTCTTGCTTATTGTACTCTATAGTCCGCACCCCGTCTGGAAGGTCCAATTTTGGAGAATAAAACCGCGGACTATACAAGCCTTTCTACGGTATTGCTTATAGTATCTGAGATATGGACTTGACCACCAAAACTTAACCTTGTTCACTGATCCATGAAATGAGGTCGAGGTCAAGTGAAAACTGTCTGACGGGCATGAGGACCTTGCAAGGTACGCACATACCAAATATAGTTATCCTACTACTTATAATAAGAGAGAATTTAACATTACAAAAAATGTTAACTTTTTTTTCAAGTAGTCACTGAACCATGAAAATGAGGTCAAGGACATTGGACATGTGACTGACGGAAACTTCGTAACATGAGGCATCCATATACAAAGTATGAAGCATCCAGGTCTTCCACCTTCTAAAATATAAAGCTTTTAAGAAGTTAGCTAATGCCGCCGCAGGATCACTATCCCTATGTCGAGCTTTCTGCGACAAAAGTCACAGGCTCGACAAAAAAAATGGTAACATTTTTAAGAAACCCTTATATTGATTTGGATTAGATAGCTAACATGAAAAAAAAATTTGCATGCATTTCCAACATAGAGCATTGACAATAAAATAAATTCCCAATCACTGACAATAACGAATAAAAAATAAACTGATCCCAGCACAACTCTAGTTACTGAGTAAAATGTTAAAAAATGCCATCTTTCACACAACAAGTAAAATTGTGACAATGCCCTATTTAAATCAAATTGGAGAATATTGGGGGAAAAAAAGGCTCCTTGGAGCGTGTATTGCTCACCTGGCAGTATCGCATAGAACTGATACAATGCAACATAATTGTTTCCTTTTGGATGGAAACTGTCGGCAAAAATATTGTCTGGATGAAGGGTATACTCCTATAAGGGGTCGACTGGTGATTTTAGTTATGTTGATTTTTGATAGATCTTGTCTAGCTGATCATTTTGCTGTTTTACACAAAATAGGTAACCACTTTTCCCTGTCTGCTTGACATCACCACAGTTTTAGCAGGTTTGACATTTTGTTTCTCATTTCACAAATTACACAGTAGTATATATTTTCCATATTTATTATGTTAATAGATACAGAGACTGATAGATGCTAGGTTAGACTTTTAGACAAAATCTTACAAGTAATCACTGTGAGACTTAATACCAATTTGTACTAGCATGGGAGTCATCTTGTCTGATATGCTTTATATAATTCTGAAATATGATTAATGTAGACCTATTTCACCATTAGTTGTCACAATTTCACAGAAAATGTTATTATCAATATAAGTGTTTTCCTTATAGAACTTGTGATTTTGGCATTGTTGGGAGGTGTCGTCAAAACAACTTTGAAAGATGATCCCTCAATCATTCATTAGCCCTGTGGTTTCAGTAATAATGAGTAGTAAAAACTTTTTGACATACAACATCATGTGTACTGGTTATAGGTCAAAATAGGCTTGATCGTATACTTCATATAATTATTTACTCCCAGGTTTTAAAATATAAAAATATAAATATTAGATCATATTCTCTCTATGTGAACAAAATTAGCATCAATAATGAAACTGAAAACTTCCAATTGAATAAAATAAAACACAAAATAATAGCTTCAAAATTGTCAAGTACCTTCTTCAAATGGTCATGAACATCTTAAACCTCTTAAGAAACACTCTTAATTAACACCAGGAAATGGCTTCTCATTTCTCATTAGAAGTACAATAAATGTTTTGTCAATCTACATGTACATTGACATTAAACAATAGCGAGAGAAAATGTACAGGTGTCTTCTAGCCTGTTTAATTTTAATAATTTGCAGCCATGGCTACTATAGTAAAAAAACTGTGTGTCCAGATAACTGTCTGTGTGATGGACGAACTTATGACTGCTCAGATAATGACTTAACTGTAATACCGTCAGGGATATCTATTTCAGCAAAATCATTAGATCTACAGAAAAATCAAATAACAGAGTTATTGACCAACCCATTTTCAGAACTTCAACTATTACGGCAACTGAATCTTGGATTCAACTCGCTAAGCCAGATAAACTACAACAATTTTATTGGATTAGTGAATCTAAGAATACTCGACTTAAGTTTTAATAGGATAAATACAATTCATAAAAATTCTTTCAGGAATTTGAATAAAATCAGTGACATTGTGCTGAAAGGTAATGAACTAACTAATATTGATGGAATATTTACTGATATGAACAGGCTGGTACGTTTGGATCTGTCAAATAATCAAATAGACAAGGTATCTAGTGAATCTTTCAGAAACATGACAAACCTTCGCTATTTGATGCTTGGATCCAATAGAATAACATCTATTGAAGTTAAAGCCTTTAATGATAATAGCTTGATCACATTTATTTCACTGACCGGGAACCCTGTCATTGACGTAGATGGTCTTTTCATCAAAAACAATGTGTTGTCCTTTATAGAATTGACCAACTGTTCGCTGGAAACATTTCCTAAAGGATTACCACTTATGACCAGATTTTTGTATCTAGATCAGAACAATATCAGGTCCATAACAAAAAAAGAAATTGAACCAGTTGAAAGTTTAGTTAACCTCTTCGTCTCTGAAAATGAAATCCAGTTCATTGAAAGAGATGCGTTTACAGGGTTGAAAAGTTTACAGGAATTATGGATTAATTTCAATGGAATCACTGAAGTACCAATACCACCTATTAATGCTAAGAAATTACATATAGACAATAACAACATAGCACATGTTCAGAAAGACGATTTTCAGTTTGGATCTAAACTGGAGACATTATCTATTAAGAATAATCAAATATCCGTAATTAATGCAGAAACTTTTGAAAATTTGACAAATCTGTTGAGTTTATATTTGGGTGGAAACAACATAAATGTGTTACCAGATAATGCATTTAAACCACTGCTTCTTCTAAAAGATCTCGGTCTGACTGGAATAGATTTTAATTACTTGGGAAAAGATGTGTTCAATAAACTTAATAACTTAGAAAAGCTGACATTGTCTTATGTACTAATTGGTGAAAATGCTTTACAAGGAAATATATTCAAACATCTATCTAACCTAAGAATTCTAAACCTACAAGAAAGTCCTGAACTTGCCAGCAAAGTTTTAGAATCAGAGGATATGATGAAGTCTTTATTTACAGTTGAGGCTATCAATTTAATGGATAATAATCTTAAAACTGTTAATTCAAATATCATAAAATATTTGCCAAGACTGCATTCCATTAAATTTGAAGGAAATCAATTTCACTGTGATCGCCGTCTGCTCTGGTTATGGAAATGGATTGATATGCAAAAATATAAATTTGAAAATGCTGACTCTCTTCAGTGCTTCTCTCCTCCTGAACTACGAGGTAGCACATTTTTGAGTTTAAAATCCGCCCAATTTGTTCCAACAACCCTCAAACCTGTGGTGTTATCAACAAAAGGACAGTTTATTTCAAAAACAACTCAATCTCCAAACATTATATTAAATTCTACAAACCTAGGAAATGAAACTTTAACCTTCGAAAAGATAAATGATACTGTTAATGAAAATATAGATAGCTCTTCTTTCCCTCCAGGATATGTCCCAAATCAAAAAGATTTAGTAAGATCTCAAAACCAACAGGAAAAAGACTATGAAGATAAAATAAACAAAATTCTAATTATAACTGTAGTGACAACGCTGGCTGTTGTGTTATTTGCTGTAATTGTGACAACTGTATCGTGTCTGAAGTGCAACAAAAAGAAGGATTCTTATAATCGTACCGATACCTTTCCAGACAATGATGTAACTTTTTACGTTATCAGTGATGAAGCACCTCCACTACCCCCACCTAACACCACAAGGAAAGATAGAGGATCTGTGAGTTCAACCCGTGACATTACTAATGACAATGTCTTTATCATTGACAATGACAGTTCATAATGTTCAAATAAAACAAAAGAATAAATATACAACTATTTTGTTTCAAAACACTGGACTGATCATGCTTAATATGAGTGTGAAAACTCATAAGAGAAACATTAAATCGTGAAAAGGGAGTATTACTTTCTATGTAATGTTAATTGTTTTCCATAGTTTATCATCCACTGAAAATAAACTTAAATAGGCAATATAAATATACTGTATATTATAGCAATATTTATTTTTACATGAGTAATGATTAACTTCTAAAAATATACATTGCATTACATCCTATTGGGGACATGATTCCTGAAAATGGTGATTTTTATTTGCATCAGACCATTTAGATCTCATGGGCATTAAAATAAAGATCTATTGAAATCATTTTTGTAAAATTAGAATATATTTTTCTCGTTTGAATTGTTTCATATTTTGTAATGTAGAGGCTTTTTGCAGCTGACTATACAGTATGGGTTTTGCTCATTGTTGAAGACCACAGAGTGACCCATAGTTGCTTATATCCACTTCTTTTAGAGTATGTTGAATAGTTGTTTCATTGCTAATCATGGTCACATCTCCTTATTTTATAAAGCGGACTCTACTAGCTGAATAACTAACCTGGCAAAAATATTCCAATTCCACAAACAATTCATTTGTAAATACAGTGAAACCTGTATAACACAGGTCACACTAGGGATCAGAGAAAACTATGTTTATAATTTATAGTTGGTTGAATTGATAATTTATAGTTGGTTGAATTGATAATTTATAGTTGGTTGAATTGATAATTTATAGTTATTGAATTAAGGTTCAATATACATAGGTATTACTAAAACAGGACAAAAAGAGGATGACCTTACAAAACAAATTGGACCATATATAGCTTTTTGATTAAATCAAAATAAAGGACAATAAATAAAAATTCTTCAGTATCAGAATGACATTATTTATTAACCATATAAAAATCTGGACAAAACATATTATTTACAAAAAAAACATGCCAATGATTTGAAGATCACAATTTAATTGCTTATCAATTTTACTATTTAGAGTTCTCTCCATTCATTACTGTTTTCAAGGCAATATCCAAGAAGTATAAATATAAAAAAAACAACATTTAAAGTGCATTAACTTTCAAAAAAAATCTGAGTTTTGATGCATCTACAGTGGATCTTTATTTTCCTATGCATTTTCACTGCTGACAGATTTTCTCTTATAACTAGTTTTCATGTTATTATAAAATAACTCACATTACTGTGGATTCATTTTTATTCATGGGATACCATGGCCAATTTTCATAAATTTCGGGAGTACAAGTGAGTCAACCACTAATCTAAATGTTCAACTAAGTGCACATTTTCTACAGGCTTGTATTCAGACTTATCAAGTTATGTAAAACAACGAAATCGAATATCCACAAAAATACAATTTTTCCTTAATCCACGAAAATTGGTGCTCACGAAAATATATGAATCCACAGTTCCAATATTCTAAATTTTGACACATTACAATTCATTCATGTTAAATTTGGTTGTAACTAATTCGGTACTTAAGAGGTGAAAATCTATTAAACAACAAGAGTGCACACACTAAAAATGTCTTTGTCTGCTTCCTGAATATGATTAAATTTTGTGTGAAAGTTTTTCAGTTATTTGCACCCACTGAGAAACTGACTTAATCAGGAAATCTTACTATTGACTTGGACCACGAAAATATGTCAAGGTCAGATGAACCCTGTCAGTTGACATGCACACAATACCTTCATTCAATATATTGAAAACACTTGACCTATTATTTATAGTATCTGATAAACTGACATAGTCACATAAACTATAAAATGAGCATTTGCCAAAAGGAGGTCAAGGTCAATTTGGCCCTGCCTGATGGACATGTATGCCATACAATCATTCTATGCACCACATATGGTTAACCAATTACTTACAGTTTATGAGAACCTGACAAGTCATGAAAGCTTAACAATAACCAATGAACCATGAAAAAGAGGTTAAAGTCAATTGAACACTGTAAGACAGATATATACACATTAGTCATTTATTACCGGTAACCAAATATAGTTTAAAACTGAGAATGGAAACAGGGAATGTGTTAAAGAGACAACAACCCAACCAAAGAGCAGAAAACAGGCAAAGGCCACCAATGGGTCTTCAACACAGCGAGAAAATCCTGCACCCATTGGCGGGCTTCAGCTGGCCCTAAACAAAAATGTGTTCCTGTTCAGAGAAAATGGACGTCACACTAAACTCCGAAACATATAAATGAACCAAAATTTAAAAAACATACAAGACTAACAAATTTACTACTATTTACAGTATCTAAGGAACTTATTTCACCATGAAAAATACTGTAGAGTCATTTATGTTCGTGGGTCAAAGCCCTTTGATGTACAACTGATTGAAAGCTATTTCCCTAATTAGACATTATAATAAGCAGTCATTACAAAATGACCAAAAGTAAGAAACATGCTTTTCAAAAATAAGGAGATGTGGTATGGTTGCCAATGAGACAACTATCCACCAAAGTTCAAATGAAGTGGATTTAAGCAATTATAGGTAATTGTACGGCCTTCAACAATGAGAAAACCTATACCGTATAGTCTGCTGTAAAGGCCCCGACATGAAAAATATAAAACAATTCAATTGAGAAAACTAACTGGCCTAATTTATAACAAAACAATTTACGGAAAAAAAATATGAGATACATTAACCAACGACAACCACTTTACTACAGGCTCCTGACTTGTGACAGGCACATAAAGAATGTGGCGTGGTTAAACATTTTTGTGAGCGCTTAACCCTCTCACTAACCTAGGACAGTGGTGTAACAGCACAACATAAGAACAAACTATAACAAAAGTGCACACACTGAAATGTCTCGCCTACTATACTGACCATTGATTTTATGTTGATAGTCCTACATATAAAGTTTTACTACAAGTATGACATTAACATTTATGATCCAAGAAAATGAGGTCAAGGTCAGATAAACCAAGCCGGCAATACATGTACACCTTTAATACAATAATTCCATACACAGAATATAGATGACCTATTGCTTATAGTATAAAAGGAACAGACCAAACCATGGAAGTTCTATATTGACCAATGAACCATGAAAATAAATTCAAGGTCAGATGAACCCTGCCAGACAGACATGTACACCTTAAAATCATTTCATGCATCAAATATAGTTGACCTATTGCTTATAGTATCTAAGAAACATAGTTAACAAGGAAAACTGAACATTGACCAATGAACCATGAAAATGAGGTGAAGTCAGATGATACCTGCCAGACAGACATATACACCTTAAAATCATTCCATACAACAAATATAGTTGACCTACTGCATACAGTTTTAGAATAAACTGTTATCACAGAGATATGTCTCGCCTTTTTGTAATTTTGATAATGCAAATGTTGAAATTAAAATAGCAATACTTTAACATGTAAGTTATGCAAATATTCAAAGTCCATGAACCATGACTGAAGGTACATGGCTAAACAATCTCCATGGAATGAGATGTGCCAATGCTAATACAACTGCATACCAAATACCATTGACTTATTATAAGTCGTTCCCTTTAAACAAACCTAAACACAAACATTAACTTGTAAACTATGTGTGACAGGATTGCTTCCCTTAGAAATTTAGTAGATACTTAGTCAGCCGTAAGCAGTCGAGCTAAGGAAGTACTTCTTAAGCTCAGTCGGTTAACGCGCTGCCTTGTAACACAGAGGTCCCGGGTTCGAGTCCCGGTGGAGACCTACGATTTTGCAAGTAGAATCATGCTCTCCGGTTACATTGGCGCCCAACAATAAAAACCCACGGTTAGAAGAAATACCTAGCCAGGTTAAAACATAAATATAAAAAAAATGAAGATATCATCATTATAGAGTATAATGACTCTTGAGGTGGGGGAAGTGTGACGGGATTGCTTCCCTTAGAAATTTAGTAGATACTTAGTCAGCCGTAAGCGGTCGAGCTAAGGAAGTACTCCTTTAGCTCAGTCGGTTAACGCGCTGCCTTGTAACACAGAGGTCCCGGGTTCGAGTCCCGGTGGAGACCTGCGATTTTGCAAGTAGAATCATGCTCTCCGGTTACATATGTAAAAGTTTCAAAGTCAATGAACCATGATCAGGGGTGGGGCTATATAATCTCCATGGAAACGATACTTGCAAATGCTAATAAATTTGCATACCAAATATCATTGACTTAACATTAGCAGTTCATCTTAAACTGATCTAATCACAAACTAATACATGTAAAGTAAGCAAAAGTTTCAAAGTAAATAGACCATGACTGAGGGGGCAGGGCCAAATATTCTCCATGGAAATGAGATGTGCTAATGCTTATACATCTGAACACCAATTAACATTGGCCTACCACTAATGGTTCCCATTGAACTGACCTAATCACAAACTAATACATGTAAACTATGAAAAGTTTCAAAGTCAATAGACCTTGACTGAGGGGGCGGGGCCAAATAATCTCCTTGGTAATGAGATGTGCCAATGCTAATACAACTGCATACCAAATATCATTGACCTACCAATAGTGGTTCACCATGAACAAGACCTAATCACAAACTAATACATTGTTGACGCCTCTGCCGAAGCCGGAAACAGCATACCTATGTCTCACTTCTCGACTCCGTCAAGGCTAGACAAAAAACAGACCAAAACACAAAAACTTAACATTGAGCAATGAACCGTAAAAATGAGGTCAAGGTCAAATAAAAACCTGCCAGACTGACATGTACACCGTAAAATATTTCCATACACCAAATAAAGTTGACCTACTGCATACAGTATTAGAAAAACAGACCAAAACAAAAAAACTTAACATTGAGCAATGAACCGTGAAAATCAAGTCAAGGTCAAATAAAACCTGCCAGACTGACATATACATGTAAAATATTTCTATACACCAAATATTGTTGACCTACTGCATACAGAATTAGAAAAACAGACCAAAGCACAAAAACTTAACATTAAGCAATGAACTGTGAAAATGAGGTCAAGGTCAAATAAAACCTGCCAGACTGACGTGTACATCGTAAAATATTTCCGTACACCAAATATAGTTGACCTATTGCATACAGTATTAGAAAAACAGACCAAAACTCAAAAACTAAACTATTACCACTGAACCATGAAAATGAGGTCAAGGTCAAATGACACCTGCCAGTTGGACATGTACACCTAACAATCATTACATACACCAAATATAGTAGACCTATTAATTATAGTATCTGAGATATGGACTTAACCATGAAAACTTAACCTTGTTCATTGATCCATGAAATGAGGTCGAGGTCAAGTGAAGACTGTTTGACAGGCATGAGGACCTGGCAAGGTATGCACATACCAAATATAGTTATCCTATTACTCATAACAAGAA